CACCTGTCCCTCATTTACCTGCCCATGTTTCCCTAATTAGCCCTCTGTATTTATACCACCTGTTTTGCCCCTGTCCTTTGTCAGATCATTGTTGTTGTTTGTTGGTGTTCCTGTTCATCCCATCCTGCCATTAAACCATTTTTACTTTTACTGAAGCCTGCACTTTTACCTCCTGCTCAGCTCATCCACACATGGTCCGCCGTCTCCACCCCCTACACCATGACACACTGTCTATTGACAGCTCACACACTCAGACACACGACAATGACAAGGTTAAACTAATCTCATTACACATTGCTTTCTGTTCCACAAATCAGAACTCCTGTATCTGATGTAAGGTGTGGTTTCTGAGGTTTGTTGGCAAAACCCATTTACATGTCAAATTCTAATTGGCCATGTAATCAAAATATAGCCATCATTAAAACAGAACTCACTTTCTGAGTGAGTCAGTTGAGCATAACTCTGACTGGCCATCGGAGGAACACTCTTCTCCCATCGCATCTGTCAGAACCTGTTGCACGCTAAAGCTGACACAGCCAAGACTCCTTCAGAGTCCATCAGTTCGAGACGCAAAGCTAGTCCACCTGTTTGTTGTGACCTGGAGACGACTCTGGACTGACCTGGTCGTACTGCGGTTCTTCTACAAACCTCGGTACCTTGGGGGTCCACGGACTCCCCAACATCTCGGATTCAAAAGAGGGTCTCCGAAAAGGGGTACGTAGACACAACAGATTGCGTCTGATGTGCTTTTATAAACCCTCACTTCTAGTTTATAGCAGAACAAGTTCACTCCCACTCAGACCTCAGTTTCTTTCAGATACAAGGTTGTGATAAACATTACACACCATTCCATCACATCCATCACATTCCATCCACATAAAGTGTTTCCTAGCTGTCATGTTTTTAATTGTTTAGGAAATACACATCTTACTTTTTATAAACTTGACTCGATCTGCATTAATACGAAGTGTCTTATGATCCCTGAATAAACAAAGAATCCTAATTCTTCTGGTTAAACATTCAAAGATCAATCAGATTGGATTTCCATGTTTATATAGAAATTCACATTTTATTGGTCAAATGTAGTGTAGTATATTGAACATAAAAAGCACCCAAAATACATATGTATGCTAACTCTGCAGAATCAGCAACGCCATGACGCACGGCAGAACTCCTTCAGGGTGCGTTATTTGTGGCGATAAAACATCAACATTACAAAGTAAATGGAGTCAGTGGTGGAGCCGTGTTGCTGTTGTCCAATGAGAGGTGAGATGTCCAAATATCAGGACATAAGTTGTGCCACTCTCTTCTCCAGCTGATTTCTACGACCTCAAACAGATGCACTATGATTGGCCCACCATTATGGACCAATCACAGCTCTTTATGTGTTTGAAACCCCTCTAGAGAGCTGTGATTGGCTAGCAGAGTCCTGGTAGGAGCTGCAGAGGTTCCAATGGAGCGTTCCTAGACCAAACTTTGCAAAGCAAGAATTTGGTCTAGTTCACTTGTCTAAGAGACCACTGCAAATGTAATAAAATATGAGTAGTGCAGATATACATTAAATGAAAATGTACAGTGTTGTTTTTTTTCCAAATTAGTACAAATTCATCCATCTGAACCACTTGCAGGGTCTCGTGGAGCTGGTGTCTGTCTCCAACAGTCAATGGGTGACACTGGACATGTTTCCGGTCCATCAGAAAGAAAAAACAAACAATCGCTTACTCACACCTAGAGACAATGGAACATTTCCACTTAACCAATCATGCATGTATTTGGTCTGTGGGGAGAAAACCCATGAAGCTGCGGCTGGTACCTGCAACCTTCTCGCAGTAAAGTGTTCCACCATGCAGCCCAATAAGGAAAAGCCTCACTGTTTAAGTTTCTCTTTAAAATGTACGCAAACTGACGTCTTGTCCATCTTGTCGGGGGGACAAATGACTAGTAGCAACCAGCTGATTCAGGAGTAGATTGCTATCCCCTCATGGCCTCTCATATGGAGCACCACATATTTTAAAATCATATCTACACGACCACCTGTAAAATGGTTTAATTTTTTCACCAAAATCAAGGACAAAAATGAATTGAAATGTAATGCTGCTGTAACGATTAAATTTACATATTATTTAATGAACCATAAAATGTGAGATTCCATAGGAAATATGAAATCAATCGTATGGACCTTTGGATAATTTAAACCAGAAGATTGAAACTTTTTATTGCAGGGATTGTGTAAGAGCTTTGTATTAACTCAGAGACAAAAGAAAGAGAGTCAAGTTTTAAAAGTTTAAAGATTTATTACTAAACAAATTAAAACTAGACTAACTTTAAACACTAAATGTATGTTGTAACTAAGGTGAAGTGGGACGGAGAATGGTGTAGTGTGGAATGTTGTTCAGAACCAGGAAATTCGGAGAAACGATTAGTTCTGATGGGAGTGAAGGTGATGTCTTCGCGCTACGCTTTGATTTGGAGATTCGTAACACACATTGAGGCGCCATTCTGTCGGCCTACGTAGGCTGCCGGCTGGGTCTCCCCGCAACTCGGCGCATCTCTGTCTGATCGCGGCTTCTGTTTGATGCGCGGGCTGCCAGCTTGTGGAGCTCTGCGATGGAAACCTTTCCACCCGGTTCTCCCCAGTGCCATACTATGTATCGTGCTACCCAGGAGACGAAACCTATAAACAGGAGGATTGAAGGTAACCACACAGAGACTCTAAAATTTCTGGTTATTAAATCTCCTAGTCTTCCCATCATTTTGGGCAACACCTGGTTCCAAAAACACAACCCACAAATTGACTGGTGCAAAGGAAAGATGAAGTGGGACGGAGAATGGTGTAGTGTGGAATGTTGTTCAGAACCAGCAAATCCAGAGAAACGATTAGTTCTGATGGGAGTGAAGGTGATGTCTTCGCGCTAAGCTTTGATTTGGAGATTCGTAACACACTTTGAGATCGATGCCATTCTGTTGGCCTACGTACCCTTGGCGGAAGTCCCCGTCTAGATCAGGAGGTGTAGAAGTCCGACCAGTTTGGACCTTTCTGGAGCCGAAGCCTGTAGAACAGCCGCATCTGCCAACCAGTCCTGTTTTTGAAATACTTCTGGGTCACGACAGTTTTGTTGGCATCTAGCAAGACCCAAAAAGGGGTCGTGATGGTTCAGCTTTTATTCTGAAAGGAACCGTTGCAGCAGGTGGAACAGCAACAGATTTATCCAGCTTGTCGTCGGTTCTTTCGGCTTAAGAGGAAAGTTACGGATTGGTCACTCCGACAACTTCTCTAGAACGCTTTGAACTGAAGTTAGAGATGACGTGGGCATACTTTTATACTTCGGATGTTTTGGTTTATGGTCGAATGAAAAGATGACAGATTTACCAAGCATCACCAAAACCACGCCTCCATCAGATCTGGCAGATTCTAATTGGATCAGTAAAAGCAATGTGTCGTCTCTTAACGCTACCTGAGATCAGTCCTAGTGGAAACATTTAAACTTATATTACTTATTATATTCTGTAGGATTATAATATCAAGTAATTAATATTTTCATTTCATAGACTGGTTCACATTTTATTATTGGACTAACACTTTGTTTGATTAGCTTTATTAAAAATAGAGTTCTTTTGATTTATTAAAAGAAAGAGTCCTTTGTCTTCATTCTTCTCTTGAGCTGGAAAGTAGAAACAGTTTAGATAAGGGCAATGCATGAGCGGCCTTGACCCATCTTTGAAGATTAGGTTTGTGTCAGAAACTTCTGGTATTGTTTTGAGCACAGCAAATCGGAGCAGGGCCTTTTAGGCCAGAAACGGACGCTACACTGCTGTTTATTCCAATCCAACTGAGTCATTTTCACAAGTCAGTTATCTTAACCTGTTAATCAGCATCACCGACTCACTCAGAGAAGACTTTTGTTCACGCACACACACATCTGAGATGATTTTGTGTCACATTCTTCTCAAGTCTTATTGTCAACCTTATCAGGAAGCTAACAGCTGAACAAAGCTCAACACCAGCCAGTCTAGATGGTTCACATACTGACGGCTGGATGTCCAATATTTCTGACTGAAGGCTGCGCAGCAGGGAGCCGAACATAGCTTCATTTCATTTCCAACCAACCCTCTGGTCTTCTGCTTTTATCTAAAATCAAACTAAATGGCGCCTGTTGGTAAGAAGTAGAACAGGAATGGTCCAAACAACCGCTTTTGTATTTCCATACACATTTTGGACAACAGCAAGAGAGTGTGAATGGACTATTTTGAGAGTGTTGTGACTAAAAGGGGAACAACTGGTGCCAAGCCTCCATGCCCTCCTCTTAGTGCTGCTTGGTCAGTCCACTGAAACTCCGGTGGAATGGAAGGGTGGAGGAAGCTTCACAGCTTTGCCGGGGAGTTTCTATAATAATAATAATACATTTTATTTAAAAGCACCTTTCATAACACCCAAGGTCACTTGACAGAAAACACTTAATAAAATACAATAAAACAACAATAAAACCCAAACAAGAAAAAAAACAAAGCGAGAAACAGTTCAATAAAATCAGAGGTTGTAGGCAGATTTAAACATATGTGTTTTGAGTTTTGTTTTGAAAAGGGTAAAACTGTCGATGTTCCTGATGTCTGAGGACTAAACAAGCAGCTGCCACGGTCAGAAACAACAAGCTTGATGTTATCCGTCCAGTTCCTGGGATGCTTTTTACTTTGAATGACCTTCAGATTGACATCTGACAGAGGAGCACTAAAGAGCTTCAATTCTAATGTATTCATTATCTTAATATTACTTTAACCTTGTAAACATATGCACCCCAGCTATTACAAGTTTAAAAAATCAGTCACCTTTACTTGATCCCCTTGGTTCAACAGGAGCGTTAGTTTTTGCGATTTTAAATGGGTTTTAACACCACGTGACAGTTTTTAAATCCAGCTGTTCACCAGAGGTTTAATGAGCGACTGATCCATGCGTCCAGGGAGAGCAGGGACTGGCTGGAAGGGGGAGGGCGCTAACGGGGCCGTCACTCCGGTCTGGCTGAGCAAAGGAGGCGGACGGAGCGGAGCCATTCATTCATCTGCGGTCCCGGAGAAAACGTGGAGGATGAGGAGACCCTGAGAAAGTCCAGCCACGTCCGAGTTCTGGTAACCCCGAACCGTTCAAACCCGAGAGGAAACAAAGAGACGTGGTCTCCCCCCACTTTCTCTGAGATCTCCGAGCGTCCACGTTGCGCGCAGCCAGCACGTAAGTCTGCGTCTGCAGCGAAACGACTAAACTTCTGCTTCTTAAACACTAGAATTGGTTTCCGCTCTGTAGAGGTTCTTCTTTGGCTAAACTCCTCAGAGATGTGCTGACTTTGACTCGAAGGTTTGCTGCTTGGATGAGTTTCAGTCGAAGCTTCGAAGGAAACTCGAGGCAGGAAAGTGGAGCTGCTGCAGCTAAAGCAGTGATGTGACTCTCATCTGGCCCCATTGTTATAGGTATCCGATCTGAATGAGAACAGGGTGATACCCATAAATAATGATAAACACGTGATAGTCAGGCTTTTATCATTATTGCCGACATCTTCCCTTTTGGTTCTGACATATATTTGACCAATAATTGAAATAAACAAGGTTATTATTCCAGTCTTACAAGAACATCACTCTAGCAGCAAGAAGGGTGCAGGTTCAAATCCCAGCTTCTTCCCACAGACTGAAATCACGCATATCAGCTTAATCAGAAAACTCTGAAGTGTCCCTGTGATGGACTGGAGACCTGTCCAGGATGTCCCCTACCTTTTGACTGATGATTGGAATGATTGGATGATTGGGGGAACCAACTCCCCATGACCCTAACGTGAAGAAAAGTGGTTAAGATCATTAGAGTGTCACTCTATTTTCTTCCACTTGGTGTGTTGAGTGACACCCATAGAGTCAAATCTGAACACCCTCAGGGCAACGCTTATTGTAGTAAACCTTGTGGATGAAAGGGTTAAATTAAGGAAGTCTAAGTATAGTTGAGAGCTTCAAAACGAGGTTTAACTTATCTTAACTCTAAACCAAGTCAGTTGATTTTTTAATGTAAAAGCCTCTCATAAAAATTGACCTCCATCATGTGACCATTATGTTGATTAGAAGGTTTAAAGTTGCTCTGCTGTTGTTTCTGCAGTCCTGACGGGGTGTGACTCCCGACTGTAGCGTTGAGTTTCAACATTAAACTTCAGAACCAGTTACCACCTCTAAACCAGTGTTGTGTGTGAGAGCAAGACTTATTCTTGGTGAAGGTTTGATGCAAGCACAACAAAGGCTGTGATTTAGTTGGACTTGCTTGTTATTTTTGGCAAAGTTTGCTTGTTTCTTTCCACGTGAATGATGCTTTTTTTGGTCATTGTAAAGGTTATGAAGTATTCCTTCATCCTGAATGATCTCCCATCCAAGTAAACACCAGCAGCACTGATGAGCTAACCACTAGTCGGAGCAATAGTGTGATGCTTTCACGTAAAAGTTGTTGAGGTTTTTTAAGTGGGTTCTGTGGAAAGGTTAATGAACAAAAATATCTCTTTTGTTACTTGATGTCTCTCCAAACAACCTCAGTTTAGTGAAATATAGTATAGTTTGCAGAGGTGTGGACTTGAGACACATGACTTGGACTCGAGTCAGACTCGAGTCATTATTTTATTGACTTCTGACTTGACTTGATAAAATCTATAAAGACTTACGACTTGACTCGGACTTGAATGCCAATGACTTGCGACTTGAATCGACTTGCATCTGTTGACTTGATGATGACTTGAGCATATTTGATATTTTGGGACAAAAGTGGCACGAACTGGACAAAATCATGAGTCATTCTTTGTTTAGAATCAGTTTCAGTTGCACTTTCTGCTTTGAGCAAATAAGTTAAGCTTTATTTCTGTAATTTATTTATTATCATTGTCATTAAATTGAAGTTGGACAGATGACTTGATTATGACTTGAAAATTCAAAGTTAAGAACTTGGACTTGACTTGGACTTGACTTGGACTTCCAGATCATTGGCTTTAGACTTGACTTGGACTTGGTTGTCTTTGACTTACCCCTTCTTTCCACTGGAGCCGTCAACAGCACGTTACTGCAGCAGCACGTCATAGCTGCTGATGGGAACGGCTGTGGTCAACAGAACCTTTTCCACCAGAGCCGTCAGCAGCGCGAGTCGGCCGCGTCTCAGGAGCAGCATGTCGCGGCCCTTACGCGCCGGTTCTATTTTCTACGCGCGACGCCTCTGAAACGTGTCAAGTTCGACATTTTTGGGGAAGGAAAGACAGGAAGGAAATCGGACGCGGAAATGGAGAGAAGCTCCCGAGATTTCCAGAAGAAATAAACGTACTGCCTTCCGGTTGCTTTACTTAAAAAACGTTACTAACTGTGCGGCCCCATGAGAAGTTATCACCTAGCTAGCGGTCTCCTTTGTTTTTCAGGTCCGTATTGGCGATTATAAAACAGACAGAACATAAAACACAAACCTTTTGGAGCCATGTTGTAGTTTTCTCCTGCTTGTTGTTGTGTTTACTGACGATGTCACTCGTGTGACTTCGTGCTCTGTCGGTGACAGCTGCTCCCCTGCTGCTTCGTGTCTCGTGGGAAGGGCCAAGCAGCAGCTTACGCGAGCAAGACGTGCTGCTGCAGTAATGTGCTGCTGACGGCTCCGGTGGAAAGAAGGGGTTACTTGTGACTTGCAAAGCAGTGACTTGGTCACACCTCTGATAGTTTGATCAAACAAATGAGCTAACCTGCTAACAGTTTATGCAAATGCTATTTTATGGGCTTTAAACTGCCAAAAAAAAGTACATTTCTTTATTATTCCAGCCAAACTGTTATGAAGTACTTGTCAAAAGTGTAATATCTGGTAGCACTATAGCAAATTTTTGCTGCAAACTGCCATGACGTGGAAAATTCACGGCGGTGCAAAAAGTCTAAAGAATAAAATCTGAAAGAACTGCTGGAGGGTTTAATTTTTAGAGTTGTTTTAGGATAACTTAAAAACTTTTTAATTGGCCCCACTTTGTCTAACCTGGTAGTTTAATCTATCCTCTGTTTTCAAACTGACGTAACTAAAATTACTGCACGCAACAAGCAAACTTTCCACAGAGTGCCCCTTGCATAGATTTGAAGTCTAAAATCAGCCTTATTCGTCTAGTAACCCTTTTTACCCGCTTTGTCGTTACATGGTTATTTACAGGTGCAAATATCACCAGCAGCTGCCAAATGTAGCACCTCTGGTGCATCCAGGGGTCAAGTCCAGCAGGAATCCCTAAACAAGTCCATTGAAAGAACTTTGGTCAATGAAAATGACAAAAGTACAGTAATGCTGGCAAGATTAGTCGATTAATCATTACGACAACTACCAAAAGTGTCGGCGGCAGATGTAATAATCGTTGTCAGAGTTTATTTTTTGAAGCCTTGATTTTCTCTGTACATCGCACTGCTTTGTCTGCCTATCTACTAGGGCAGGCCTATTCAAATGGCGGCCCGTGGGCCACATCCGGCCCGCGGGCCCTACCCAGCTGGCCCACCTCACCCAATCCCCCAACCACCAACAGAAAAAAAACTGTTGAAAAACTGTTTTAGCATGCAAGTTTCTAAATTCCCACACTGATATTGCACTTGAACACAACACCATTTTAGCAATCACGGACATATATACGTAGACGCCCCGTGGACTGGTGCTGTCTATTGGAGCTGCCATAGTGTCGCTTCTACATATTCATGTCTATGTTAGCTGTGACCCAGCAATGACCCAGCCCAGCTTGTGGAGCAAACAAGCGCCTTTCAGGCAAAACTAAACATGTTTGCAACTGACTTGACTGGTGAAAGAATGCTACATTTTCCCACACTCCGTAAAGCCACCTCTTCTCTGAAAGTCACGGCAGAAATGACTGGTTTAGTCGCGAAACTGAAGGACAACTTCGCCAGTCGCCTGGAGGATCTGTCACTTCCTACAGAGGTAATGCAATTAACGAAAGATCCATTTGCTGCCATCGCTGAGGAAACATCGTCCATCAAAGCTAAGAAAGTGGTCTCTTCTATCGATGAGGAACAGTTCCTGCTGGAGTTGGTGGACATGCAGTCATCACTTACGATGCCACAAGAGCTGCGCACAAATGGCCCCGCTAAGTTTTGGAGTCATATCAATGCCCATCAGTTCCCAAACCTCAGGAATGTAGCTGTGACTGTTCTCAGTATGTTTGGATCCACCTATATTTGTGAATCCAGCTTTTCCCATATGAATGCAATCAAAACAAACCTGCGCTCCTCTCTCACTGAATCCTTTCTGCACTACTGTCTGCGCATTGCACTCAGCTCCTATGAGCCAAATATTCCATTTCTTGTTCAAAACAAAAAGTGGCACCTCTCGCACTAAAGTTGCAAGAATAACGGTCAAGCTTAAATGTTTATTTAGTAGCTGCGACTGAGTTATTGGAGGTTAATAAAACAAATGTTTGTATTACCAGCTCTGCAGCTGGTAAATTAATACAGATCATTAAAGCAATAAAAGACATTGTGCATTGCTTTTTTGTCATTGTGTTAGTGGTAGAGGTAATATTAGTCAAAATATTAAAATTTAATATTTAAACGTTGTCCGTAAAATATATAATAAAGATATGGGTATCCGGCCCAAAGCTGATCCACGATTTTGAAATCTGGCCCAGTAGGGAAAGTAATTGAATAGGCCTGTACTAGGGGTTGTATGAACTAGTCGACTAGTCGACTTCACGGCTCTGTAGTGACTTTTTATGCCTGTCATCAACTAGTCACTGTCACGTGATAATGACTGACAAGATGCAGTCCTCGGAAGACAGCGGGTGATGAGCCCCTGCGCGTCTGGATCGAGGCGGAGGCGACGCGCTATGCGGTACTGACACCGGCGGTAAAACGGACATTTAACCAAACTGTGACCTTTTCCCTCTTGCAATTTAACCTTCCCCTCACCCCCATCCTAATCTTAACCAGTTTGTGCATGCAAAGCTCTGATCATTGACGTGCGCTCCAGACATTGCGTCCTGAGCACCGCCAAATCAGGTGCCTCAAAAACAAATTAAACACGCAATCGTTCATGTCGGCTCATTTCCTTTCATGTTTTCTGTCTGTTATTTGTGCCTGATGCATTTCGCTGCTGCGGAGCGAGGCGCATCACCTGTTGTCCTCCGGTGACACACCCCCAAGATTCCACTATCTCCACTCCGCTCCGCTCCGGCATGAACTCCGCAGCAAAAACGGTCCCGT